ACACACCATTATTTATTTCTTAGCCAAGCTTTGCAACATCAACACTTATAGAAAATAATTTTTTCCAACATTCTTTGACCTAAGAATGTTTCTACTCTATGATCTGAATCGCCTAAAGTTTGTGCGTCGAGGATATAGGACAACTGGTCGTGGGTAAAGCACTGCGGGATTTGATTAAAGGAATGTAGGTCAAGGCTAAGGAATTATGGATTTTAACTAAAGTTTGATAGGAAAAAGTGTAGACCGGCGTAATCTTGTTCTGGCTGCACAGCGAATCGCAAACAGAATGGAAGAAAATTACCTATCGGAATCAGGCACATTTATTTCGACAGAACCGTTGCTACATTGGGCTTATCCTTGCTGTTTTTCCTCAATGTTTACGGTGTATTTCATTGCCAAGTTCGGTTTGGGGACTTGTTACAAAAAAGTGCACAAATAGGCTGCGTCCTCCTGAGTCAATTACAGTGAAAATTCTGATTTAGTAGAAGGAATTGACTTCAACCGATAGTTCACTATTTGAGGCATTCGTCCAAATAACCGGATTAGGATAGAGGGACCCACGGTCGATGAAGTAATCTTCTCCAGTCAATAAGCGTTTTTTGTGATCAAATACAAAAAGGAATGGCAATCAACCTGAAGCGAGCCTGATTTATTTTCGACCTTCTTCGGGAGATATGCTTAAATTGCGGAACGTCATCTATCAATCGTTCATCGAAAAACCTGGATCAGCATTAGCAAATCATTCAAAACTTGTGCGTAAACATCAGTGATAATCAACTTCAGCACTCTGGTGTATGAAACCACAAAAGATATCACCAAGCTTTTCGGAATGACTCCAATGTTTCGTGAGATACAAGCCNCCCCCCCCCCCCCCCCCCAATTTGACAAGCAATGCTATGTGACAGTTTGGATGGACTTTCCGAGTATCACGTGATCAGTTTTATAATTCTTCCCGTTTGTTTGGAATATCTCTGCCAATCATATGCTCCCCCAGATTTCCGGAACAATAAACTTTATATTCGGAGAAAACGGTATTTACTCTCTCTCTCTCTAAGAGTAAATATAGATCCTTATGGATCAATCTCGTGCTCAAGAACCATCAAATTAGACATCCCCTTGAATCGGGAAATATGAATTTAAACCTGTCAAGCACGAGACAAGAGTGATTTATAGATAACTAAAGCAAAGAACCTATTTCGAATTGACAGGCTAAATTAATAAATAACATACAATCAGTGCTGATATTGAATGGACTCATTGGAGACACAGTTTCACTCGCAATATATTGACAACATTTATTTCGACGGTTTTGTGTTCAACAAAAAACCACTGTAGACATATTTGTAATTTTAATTAAAAATTAATTTGGTTTGCAGTCAACGGCGGGGGCTGAAATCAGGGATTTGGACATCTGTGACACACTAGTCCCCTTGGAAACGGTTAAGCTAGGGTATACATCTACAGGTTTTTGTGTGACCTGATCTAACGCCATACTTTACCTGAAGCATAAAAGATCGATCTTTGCGTTCACGAAGTTGGCCAATAACGGTGTGACTCATGCGCATAATGTATACCTGCTATATCACTTTTCTCGAATAACGATCACGACTTTCAAACTGGAAGCAGAAAATAATCCTCTTAGAATCCGAATTATGGACTGAAATCAATTATACCGATTGTTATTTGGTAGATTGAATTCTTTTGTTGAAAAATTGTGAAACGTTTAGTAGCCTCGATGAGATTCGAACCCACGCAACATTAAATCTACGGACGAAAAAGTGTAAACAACTGATGTGAAGGAGACTAATTGTGCAATCGATCCTATTTGAATGAATTTTATTGCTTTATCCGTTCCAAAATATATCTACTGCATCTAGAGAACAATGTTTGCTTCACATGTTTACCTGACAGGTTACTTTTGCTATCTCCTGTGAAAAGGAAATTCGATTTGATGGACGTTCACAGTGTTCTTAAGCGGAGTACAATTTTCACCGATATCATTCACCTTTCGAACTAAGAGATTCTTACGGATAGTTGAACTTGTTACACGGTCACACTTATAACCAGGACAGTGAATGGATGTAACGCAATAGCGCACAAAAAAATGTTACCAGCAAAAAACGGGGATACACAAGTGGGTCTTCATAGCACCTGTATCTGGACTCGTATGACACACCCGGTCTCGCATGCGCACGCAGAGGCCATTATCGTTGCTCAATCCGTCTCATCTAGGGTGTTGAGGTGCGTTTCCGGGAGGCGAATTCGTTTGTCCGTGGCCCCCAAAGCACATCCAAACGCATGAAGACTGCTCGATAGTGGAAAACCGCGAAAATCCCCTTCACTGCTGGCTGACTCATTCACACATTCATCTACCTTGCACGGGAATCACCACACATTCGATACAGAGTATGGTGCGTATGTGTGTGTGTGTGTATGTGCGTCTATGCATAATGTGTGTCTGGGCGGTTGCATTTGCAATCTACTTCTACTTCATCGTCTCAAATCCCCGTCAATCTCACTCGTTCGTCCTCCTCCTCTGACTATCCCAGTCCTTTTCAACGTCTGAGTCTTCTGTCCATTTCCACACCAGTCCAGTCCAGATGGAGCAGTATACACGTGCGTGTCTAAATGCACCGAGGGTGGTGTGGTGTAAGCGAACAGTGACCGACCTGTGCTACACATTTGTCCTCGTGTGCATGGCCATCAAAGTGATGACGATCGTGATGACGGTTTCTATGCATCAATGATTTTCTGAACCATGATATTTCCCAAATGAATTGCTGAATCGACAACACGAACCCGGTGGTTAGGTCTACACGTCCCCGTGTCTGAATCTGGTAGTGCGATGCGTTTCATTCCCCCCCCCCCCCCCCCCCCGG